AAGGAAAGGAAAGGAAAGGAAAGGAAAGGAAAGGAAAGGAAAGGAAAGGAAAGGAAAGGAAAGGAAAGGAAAGGAAAGGAAAGGAAAGGAAAGAAAAGAAGTCGGATAGTGAGAGAGCAAAACCCACAATGTCCTCCACTGGCTTCTGTATGTGCACACCTGCAGGAGTGTGCGCACGCACGCACGCACACACGCGTGTGCACACACACACAACACTCCCTTCAACTTGAATCTTCCACTCTAGAAGCAGAGGCCTCATTTTCCATCTGCTCCCTTACCCCCTCTGGGAATGGCAATCTCCAGAGGGCCAAAGCACTACACGAACCCACATGTGCATGCTGGGTCAGGACGGAACCAGGCACTGAGCACCAGGACTGTCCCATGTAAGCCAGATGTTGCTATGGCAGCTACTAAGTTGACTCACTTAAGTGAATCCTATCTATCATCTGCTGAATTATTCAACAGCTTCTATCATGTGCCTGGTTTTTTCCAGGCATTTTCTCAAAGGGACATTTTATTTGCAGTCGAAGTCTATTTTGAGAGGACTTGGCATGGATAAGTAGAATACTGTCAGATCTCAGTTGTAAATTCTAGAATAAGCAAAACTACAGGGAAAGAAAAATGGTCAATGGTTGCCCAGGAGCAGAGAGAGGTAGTCACTCAACCACGCTTGTTTGTCGGGACAAGACTAAATACCTACAGGGTTTATATATACATCTGAATGTTTTTAAATATTAAAAAATATGAATATAAGTGCAGTTCACTGGCTCATAAATAAAGTGCTTCGATTTCTAAAATTTTAAGAAATGGCAGACATTGAAAAACTGAAATAATCAGAATCTGACTAAAGTCTAGGAGTTGATTCAATCGGTAAGAACCCTCACTGGCAGTAACAACGGCTGACTCGGATGCTGCCGCGCACAGCATCTCACGTGTGTCAGGTGCCATTCCAAATGGCCCTCATACAGACAGACACACATGGCCCTCACGGCACCCGTGGGAGAAGGGGGTCTGCACATCCCCTTTGCAAATGAGGAAGGGGAAACACTGGAGAATCTGAGTCAGGAAACAGGAGAAAGAGGTGGCGGACTAAGGCTGTCCCGGGCTAGGGTCTGTGGGCTTACTCTGGAAAGCAAGACTGAAGCCTACGCACAAAGGGGGGAAATGTGAGCCAGAGCCCGGGAGAGGCCATGAGTGAGTCCCGTCAGACAGAGGTGCAGAACCAGGGTGTCACCTGGCCACACGAGGGCCATTTGAGGCCAGAAGAATGAGAATAAAAGCGCTGGATAGGAAACAGTGGCCGGGTCAGGGAATCAGAATGTGTTAGTCTGTCTGCAGCCAAGGCAGGCAAGCGAGCATGACTGAGAGGCAGCCTGAGACCAGGCTGAAGAGAGCCAACACTACGCTGTTTATCCAGGCTATGGGAATCCAGGAAGGATGACAGGATTCTTGCTTTAAAAGGATGTGCCTCAGTGAAAGACACACAGGAAGACAACATGAAAACCGGTCTCATTCCTGCACTCTAGATGGAGATGAAAGGGCTAACTAAGAGTCTAGAACATCTGGTCAAAGTAGTAGCAACTGCTTATTTTTAAATTTTAGTCACAATTAGTGTGTTTATGATACGCGTGTGTGAGCGGGGCACACGCATGCCAGAGTGCACTCACGGAAGGAGGTCAGGGGACAACTTTCACGTGTGTCTCTCCACCCACCGTGGGGTCAGGGGACGGACGTTAGGTCATCAGGTTTGCTCTTGAATCTCTAAGCCATCCGGACAGCCCAGTGATAACCACTATAACCATAAAAATCTTCCAACTTACCACAAACGCAGAAGAACACATGCCGAAGGACAGAACCCATCGTAAATTCAGCCGGTCCCCAATGATGCCACTGATGAAGAGGCCCTGGAAAGAGAGCGTTTCATGTGACGCCTCTAAATGGGATCGGTCTGAACTGGAAGCACACGTGACCAGTGAGGCAAACTAACGAGAGGGACTGGAAAACCAAACCTTATTCACGGGTCTGCGTGAACTGTCTGTAACATTGCACTGCCAACATTCTGCAGAAGAGGACAAGGCGAGCCCCTGGGTATGTTCCATTTTCTAGATGGGCTGCATTAAGCAATGGCTCTGAGCCTTCCTGCAGGATTCTCTGAGCCATGTGCACTTGGGGTTAAGAAATGTTCCCACGCGTGCGCAGTCTGGCGCAGGACAGAGGTTACGATGCACCCCAACTGCCTGAGCCTCTCTAGGTTTCCGGAGACCACAAAGCAAGGAGGATGGGAAGGCTGGGAGGGCAATGACCAGTGAGAGACACAAGTGGCCGACCTTCCACTCTCCTGCCAGTGCCCAGCAGGAAGGAGTAAATACTGAGATCAGTCCAGACCTTGAGGGCAACACAGCTTAGGTTTCTGCCACAAATGTCTAAGATGAGTAACTGTCTTGACTTCAAACTTAAATTGATGTAGGACCAACTACTTCCAATAAACTGAGTGCCTTAGTAACACAGAACCCTCAGGTGACAAACGTCACAGGTGTCTGTCCCTCCACACTGGAGGCTTGGCAGACAAGCATCAGACTCAGTGGCCTACACGCGCCACAAGAGCCTGTGCACTTTGTGAGTAAGAGGCCAATGGAAAACTCTCAATTCTCTTTCCCATAAGGGAGCCAATTGCTGCTGTATTACTCCAGAAAGCACAAGGCCTGGAAGCCGCAGAAGGAAAGGCAGGTCCACAAAAGAACCATTTGGGGCTAGAAAGATGGCTCAGTGGTTAGGAGTACTGGTTGCTTTTCCAGAATTTGGCTCAAGGAACTCACATGGTGGGTCAAAACTGTCTGGTTTCAGGGGATCTGATGCCGTTTCATCTCTACAGACACCAAGCACACATGTGGTGTACAGATATACGTGTAGGCAAAATGCCCATACACATAAATTAAAAAAATATATATATATATAAATAAAATAAAACTCTATCTACCAAGTATGGTACAGCATGTCTTTAATCCAGGACTTGGGAGGCAGAGGCAAGAGATCTTTGTGAGTTTGAGGCCAGCCTGGTCTACAGAGCCAGCTCTAGGACAGCCAGAGCAACACAGAGAACCTGCCTCAAAAAAACAAAAACAAAACAATAATTTTTTTTAAAAAAAAGATCTGATGAGGGAGTGGGGAGGTCAGTCACGGGACAGCATGAGTCTAGGCACAAGCCCTGGGTTTGATTCTCAGCACCACAACAAAAAAATTTTCAGCCAGGTGGTGGTGCATGCCTTTAATCCCAGCACTCAGGAGGCAGAGGCAGGTAGATCTCTGTGAGTTCGAGGCCAGCCTGGACTATCTTTACAAATAAAACAAAACAAAAATTTAACAAAACAAAAAAACTCTATTAATTTTAAAACTTACCACAGCATAGGAGAACAAAAACACAGTGTCTAGTGTTCCAAGGAAAAGAGTGGCTTCCTCTGAGCTGGGGAACAAATGGTTGCTGCTCCAGATCTGCAGAAACACAGAACCGGTCATCTGCTGTGACCTTAGTACCGACACCTCTCAGCCACTTCCCATCCATCTGCATCCGCCACCACCCCACACAACCCTGGCAGCGAAGGGCAGGGGTGACCCCTAGTAAGAACACAGGCACTCATGTGCACACAAGGAAAGGGGCGCACCCCAGTCAGAGTCCCCGTGTGAAAAGCTGCATGCTTTCAAAGGGCCAGCTCTGACAAGGACCTGCTGCTACTTCTAGTGCATTGAGGATGCTCCTTAGTCCACCCTTCTCTTAAGGCAACACGCTGAGATGCTGGTGAGCATGTCAGCTCAGTAAGAAGACTAGGCGGCGTGTACAAATGCAGGCATTAGAAGAAGTAAGTTCTGAATGGACTAAATATCCAGGAATTAGAAACCGTATGCACCTCCACCCAGGAAAGCCATGTTTTGTATACTTTAAAAACAACTCCCTGACTTGGAGAGATGGGTCAGCAATTAAAAGCACTGGCTATTCATTCGGAGGATCCAAATTCCGTTCCCAGCACCCACATGGTGGCTCACAACCATCCATAAATCCATTCCAGAGGACCTGATGCCCTCTCCTGGCCTCCATTGAAATCAGGAACACAAGTATACACACGCAAACATAGCACTCACACACGTATAAAAATTTTTTGTTTTTTTGTTTTGTTTTGTTTTTCGAGACAGGGTTTCTCTGTGTAGCTTTGCACCTTTCCTGGATCTCACTCTGTAGCCCAGGCTGGCCTCGAACTCACAGAGATCCGCCTGCCTCTGCCTCCCAAGTGCTGGGAATAAAGGCGTGCGCCACCACCGCCCAGCCATTTTTTTTTAATTAATACAAAAAAAATTGAACAAGGACAGCTTCCCAGACCAGCTGCTGCCTGGAGCTACAGGAAGACTTGACAGCAAATACACACAGGAGAGTTTGGGGCAGGACACAGCTCTGCTGGAGGGCTATGGCAGAGGTTAGACTGCCTACTTTAGACTAGTAAGGAGAAGCTTTACTACTGGCAGTATTGTTTTTTAAGATTTATTTTTAGAGTCAGCAAGGTAACTCACAGGCATGATCCAGAGCATCTGAGTTCAATCTCCAAGACTCAATGGGGGAAGGAGAAAAGTGGTCTCCAGAAACTGTCCTCTGATTTTTCTACATATGTGCTGTGGCATGCATATGCCCACAGTATACACACACAATAAATAAAGGTAATTTTAAAAATTAGAGATTCATTTTTATTTCTACCCCACTGCGGGGTGGGGGCACGCACGTGTGTACATGTAAGTGTAGGTGCCCATGGAGGCCAGAGGCATCGGAGCTCCTGACAATGCCATTACCAGTAGCTATAAACTGCCTGACCGGGTGATGAGACCCGAGGGGCCTCTGCAAGGACAAGCGTTCTTAACTGTTGAGCTTCTTTCCAGCCCCAAAATACTGGATTTTTTTTTTTTAATATGCATTGGTGTTTGGCTATGGGTGTCGGCTCCCCTGGAACTAGAGTTATGGATAATTGTGAGCTGCCATGTGGGTGCTGGGAATTGAACTCAGGTCCTCTGGGAGACCAGTCAGTGCTCTTAACCACTAAGCCATCTCTCCAGCTCCAAAATATTGTATCTTTAACAGAAGGTAAAATCCTGAGGGCTGGTGGTATAACTCAGGAAAAAAGCTGGATTTAAACTAATTTCCCAGTTTCTGCCTTGGGTCAGAGTGTGGGTATCAACAGAATGGGGCTGTAAAGAAACACAAAGCTCTACAGGCATGCCAGAAGCTGATTTCTGTAGAGCCAATCAATCAATCCAAACTGCAAAATCAGCAGTTCTGCAGAAAAAGGATCTTAACACCTACTGTGCCGTCAGTTAGAGTAAAATAAATACCTACAGGGCTGGGGGTGGAGCCCAGAAGTGGAGCACCTGCCTAGTACAGATGAGATCCTGGAGGTGGAACCCAGGAGTGGAGCACCTGCCTAGTACAGATGAGATCCTGGAGGTGGAACCCAGGAGTGGAGCACCTGCCTAGTACAGATGAGATCCTGGATTCGATCCAGCACCAGGATAGATGGATGGATGAACCAGCAAGCAAACAAAAGAGTCAGTATTATTACATAAGAGCTAATAATGTGAATGGCTACCACCAAAAAGAGTCAACCCGGCCTAAGGTGGTTCTTCTTAGTAAAGCCTGCTCACAAGGCAGACCCCTAAGCATCAGGCGGCCCTAACCAGACTGGGGAGGGCTCCTACCATTTCCCAGCAAGCACTCATTCTCTGGACCCTGCTTTCCTGAGATCCTGGAATTTTAATGTGTGTCACACAGAGGGGGCCTGCATATCCAACCCCAATAAAAACCCTGGGTATGACTCTCCAAGGGGCTTCCCAGGTAAACAGCAATTCACAAACGCTGTCACAGGCTCTGGAGGGGACCTGGTTTCCCGCAGGCGTCACGCTGGGCACCTTTCCGTTTGCTAATTTCACTCCTGTCCTTTTCCCACAATAAATCACACATGCTGAGTGCTCTAAGTGCTCCACTAACCTATCAGACCCGGGGTGGTGTAGGGGCCCCGCCAACCCACAATCCCCAAATACAAATCCCAGCTTTCTGGATGCGGGACAGACTGCACCTGGTTCCCACACTGGGGGCTCAAGGGTCACCAAACCACAGCTGGAGGAGCCAAAGATGTTTCGCCTAAACAAAAGAAATGAGGGGCTGGCAAGGACTTCAATCTCCAGGACCCACACAGTGGACAGAACCGACCCCTGAACAAACACTCAAAACACACAAAGAAAGAAATAAAATTCATTCTTGAGAGAGAGAGAGAGAGAGAGAGAGAGAAGAAAGAAAGAAAGAAAGAAAGAAAGAAAGAAAGAAAGAAAGAAAGAAAGAAAGAAAGAAAGAAAGAAAAGAAAAGAAAAGAAAAGAAAAAAGAAAAAGAGGTATTTTACCTCATCCCAAAGGGAAGGGCGAAATTTTGGCAGAAAATGGGTGAAGAGGGGCTGGAGAGATGGCTCATCAGCTAAGAGTACTTACTTACTGCTCTTTCAGAGGACTAGATTTCACTTCTCAACACCTACATGGGGCAGCTGGTACCCTCCGGCACCTGAGAATCCAATGCTCTCTTCTGGCCTCTGGGCATGTATGTACACCTATGTGTATTTGTGCATAGCACACAAACACACACACACACACACACACACATACACACACACAACTTTTTTAAAAAGAGAGTTACTTTAAAAAAAAAAAAAAAAAAGAAAAAAAAGTAGCTGGCTATATGGCTGGTGCACGTCTTTACTCCCAGCACTCAGGAGGCAGAGCCAGGCGGATCTCTGTGAGTTTGAAGCCAGCCTGGTCTACAGAGTGAGTTCCAGGACAGCCAAGACTAAGTACATAAAGAGACCCTGTCTCAAATGAAAAAAAAAAAAAAAAAAGAAAGAGGAAGAAGGAGGAGGAGGGAGAGAGAAAAAAGAGGAGAGGAGAGAAGAGAGAAGAGAGAGAAGAGGTAGGAAGGGAGGGAAAGAAAAAGGTGCAAGATTAAACAAAAACTAAAAATGAAAAATCAATCAATCAATCAAAGGGAGAAATGCACACAGCACTTGTGAAATCTCAATGAAGCCAGAACTGTGTGATTTCACAACAGTGAGATACAAGGTGATGGGCTAGGTACCTAGGCTGAATCTGAAGGTTCTGAACTTACAACAGCCTGGAGCTCGTACCCTAGGACACAGTAAGTTGTTTCACAGTCCTGATCAGATGATGTGAAAAGAACGTAAGAACTGCTAGGGGTGGACACGGAGGAGGCCCTTCCTGGCTCCATCCCCGCACTCTGCGTACCTCTGCAGGCAGGTCAAAGGATGTGTTAAAAGCACTTGGGGTCCACTGCTTGGAAATGCTGACTTTGACGTTGCTGAATGTTTTTCTTGACGCATGGAGCAAAGAATAGCTGCAAAACACAGAGGGAACAGAACTGAATGAGAAGCAAAGAAAACAGCACTCAAAAATCAAACCTGCACATTCACTTTATTCAAGTTTGGAAGGAAAACTATTTGCTGCTTTGTAAGAGGTAAAAGCTGCTGATTAAGGCAGGCTCTGCTGGGGCTGGCGAGGCGGCTCAGTGGGTAGAGCACTGGCTGCTCTTTCAGAGGTCCCGGGTTCAGTTCCCAGCACCCACAATGCAGCTCACAACTGTCTGCAACTCCAGTTCCGAGAGGATAAAACACCCTCACACAGACGTACACACAGGCAGAACACCAACGCACATAAAATAAAATAAAAATAAAATAAAGAGAAACCCTGTCTTGAAAGAGAGAGAAAAACACTGGTCTTCCTTATGATCTCACTGTTGGTGCATAACTTAGCTTGGAACTGGACGTGGCACACCTACCTTAGGGCCCAGTGCCAGTTCTGGAAAGCACCCCCATCTCACACAAAAGGGGAGCCCTAAGCCAGGCTGTCAAAATGACCTAGCAACTCTTATAAGACTACAGAACCTCTTTCCTAATTTATTCTTGGAGGGGGAATCAACATGTATAGTGCCATCAATAAAGATTAACAGAGCTGGTGGGATGGCTCAGTGGCTAAAGGGCCTTGTCTCCAAGCCTGATCACCGAAATTCAATCCCCAGGGCACAAGGGGAAAAGGAGAGGACAGACTCCAAGACCTTGTCCTCTGACCTCTACTCTCACACTGTGGCAAAGGGCACCCCACAAAAAACAAATGAATTAACAAAATTAATAATAAGATCTGAGAAAACAGCAAAACAGGTGAATAAGAGGACTACATATAATAAACTCCTACCCCTAAATATCCTGGTTTACGCTGCTACTGCAGAGGTCACGTAGAGCTCTAGAATCACAAACATAGACAATTCCTCCAATCATGCTGACTAGTTAGGGGCTGCTAAGCCTCGGGTCTCACAGGAGTCACCCAAATTCCCAACAACATCCTTCTCATCTTTGCTGTTCTAGAACGCGCTCCTGAATGCACGTCTTTGTTACAAGCTCCCGTTTCAGTAGCGAGCACCTGATTTCAGACTGGGGTTTCTCAACGGCTACAACATTTTCTGTCAACCAGTTCTTGGGTCAAGTTAGGACATTAGCAGCACCCCTGGTCTCTGACACTAAATGCAAACAGTAACCCTCCATCAGGCCAATCAAAATGTCACAAACTGTCAAATAACCCCCCAGAGAACAAAATGACCCTGAGAACTACTATCCTAAGTCATCAACAAAGTACAATGGGGATATCAGAATGCATGTCTATAACAAAAGGATAGAGGTAGTAGGAAGTGTGTGTGTGTGTGTGTGTGTGTGTGTGTGTGTGTGTGTGTGTGTGTGAGATGCGCGCATGCACCTCAGGCTAGCCTTGAAATAACAAATATATATTTTGTCTCAATAAAAATGAAGGAGTTTCTAAATGAAGTTCAGGTGCTAAGCCTAGAATTATGTGCAAGGACTGAATTCTATCCTCAAAGCCACAAAATAAAATTAAAAAAAAAATTAAAAGTCACAAAATCAAATGAGGTCCTCAGTGGTTAAGTACAGGCTAAGCACAAATAAAATGCTCTAATGCTATAATTTTATCCCCATCTCCACAAAAATTAATTAAAATAAAAATTTGAAATTGAATTATGTGAGCTGAAAGATGGCTCAGTGGATAAGAACACTTGTTGCTCTTGCATAGGACCTGGATCAGTTCCGAGCACCCACACGATAGTTCACAACCATAAGATACTGCAGTTCCAAGAGACCCAGTGACCTCTTCTTCCAGCCTCCACAGGCACTGCATGTGGTAGACATGCAGACAAGACAACCACAAACATAACGTTTTTTAAAAAGGTCAAACTGTGGCTGGGGGACATGGTGCGCACCTTTAATCCCGCCACTCAGGAGGCAAAGGCAGGTGGATCTCTGTAAGTTCAAGGTCAGCCTGGTCTATATAGCAAGTTCTACTACAGCCAGAGCTACACAATGAGACCCTACCTCGAAAAACTTGACTTATGAGGGTGTCATTAAATATTTAGGGGGGAAAAGCACAACTGAGAGCCAGTCACAGCTCAGTGACACAGGACACGCTCAGCAAGCTTGCAGCCCTCCCGAGTTCCGCGCCAAGCACCAAAACCAAAACCAAACAAATGCAGTACGAATGGAAGGTATCTATTTCACTGGAAGCCGGTGTCAACCAGCATACTCGACTCTCTGAGGCAGTACCACTCCCAAAGGCAGAAGACCAGAAAGTCAGGACGCCATTACCTGAAGAAAGTGAGCAGGAACACAGCAACATGGTGATGGCTGAAGCCGGGGAACAGAGCCCCCCTCTGCAGAAATCGTGGCCAGGCCATGCTCTTCCTGCTCCCTCGTCACCCTGACCTCAAAGTCTTCAGAGTGATGAGTTACATCACTTCTTCTTTCTGGAAAAACAAAGACACATTCTTGACATTTTAAACAAGAAAGCAGACCTAATGGCACAGGACTCCAGTGCCAGCACTTGGGAAGCTGAGGAAAAAACAAGAGCTAGCTCAAGGTCATCCTCAGCTATAAAGTGAGTTTGAGGCCAACCTGGGCTACAGGAGACCTGTCTCAAACACACAGAGTGACAGACAGATAGACAGATAGACAGACAGAGATAATCCAAACTATCCAAAATAATTTCGTAAAATCTCAATTAGTAGGTTTATGACCAGCCAACAAACAATCACAACTTTATCTCATAAACTACTTGGTACCAGAAAACTGTATTGAAAATTATGTTTTGTGGTTACTGGCTAGTCCTGGAGTAGGAGCAGGAACCTCAACAAATGAATATACACAATAGAAGGAACAGCCATGCAAATGGAGAAAAGCACTCGTTTTTATAGAAAAAGCAAAGGAAGTAAACGGACAACTTGGAAGAACTGAGCTATTAAAGTTAAGAAACAAAAGTTCAAATCATCTTAGAAATGCTGATTAAAATAAGGAATATCTGCACAGGGCTGAGAAGTTGGCTCAGTGCTGGGAGCATGGACTGCTCTTGCAGATCACCCGAGGTTAGTTCCCAGCATCTACATACATACAGTTCACAATGTCTGTAACTCCCAGCTCTAAGGGACCTGCTGCCTCTGGCTTCCATGGGAACCTGCGCTCATGTACACATCCCCACATGCAGACACACATACCTACACACACTTTAAAATAATAAAAATAAATCTAAAAAAACTTTATAGGGGTGGTTTAGTGGTTCAAAGCACTGGCTGCTCTTCCAGAGGACACAGGTTCAATTCCCAGCACCCATGTGGAGGTTCACTCCAGCTGCAGGAAATCTGACTCCTTCTCTGGCCTCCTCAGGCACCAGGCACACATGTATACACACAGGAAAACACACATACAAATAAAGTAAAAACTATTTTAATACATATTTTTAGTTTAACTGGGCACAGTGGCATACATCTGTAATCTTAGTACTCAGGAGACTGAGACAGAATCAAAAGTCAAGACTGGTCCAGTATACAAAGCAAGTCACTGAACAACCCCAGCCCCACAAAAGAAAACTATTTTAGCCCCAAATAAATAGAACGTAGCGAATTTCACTTTAAAATCATTCCTTCTGAGGCCGGACGGAGGTGGCGCACGCCTTTAATCCCAGCACTCAGGAGGCAGAGGTGGATCTCTGTGAGTTCAAGGCCAGCCTGGTCTACAGAGCAAGCTCCAGGACAGGCACCAAAGCTACACAGAGAAACCCTGTCTTGAAAAAAAACAAACAAAAAATCATTCCTTCTGAAAAATGCTAACAAATTTATGAGCACAGTAAGACCAAAAATTCTGACAAAATAAATGAAGTTTATAATTCCAGAAGTTACAAAAACAAAAACTATCATGTGTTGCTACTAAAATTACAGTTCTTGATCTTGGCAGATTGCTCGCCTGACATACGGGAAGCAATGAGTTTGATCCCCATCATTTGATGTTTGTAATACCAGCACTGGGGAGGTAGAGGCAGGAGGATCAGAAATCCAAGGTCATCCTTGGTATACACTGAGACCTAGGCCAGCCTGGGGATGCCCAAGAGAAAAAAAGAAGCAAAGAAAACAGCTATTTTACCTGAACATATTCCACCTCAAAACACTGTAAGAGCATAAGATATAAAATGCAAAATGTAATTGAAGAAAAGCTAGAGCCAACGAGATGGCTCAGTCAGTCAGGACACGGCTCAGTCAGTCAGGACACGAGTCACCAAGCCTGACCACCTGAGATGGGTCCCCAGGACACACACAGGGAGCTGTACTCTGACCTCCACACATGCGCACCACCCCCCTCTCCCACGACTAAGTGTGATAAAAATAAATGAATAACTACGTTAAAACTCAACAAATTGAGGTTACTATTGCTTTAGCAGTAACAGTTGTATAATTCAGGGCCACTTGGATACATGTATATATGTATCTACTGAGATATCTGAGACCACGTGGATTTAGTTTCTAAATAAAGCACCTTATCCTAAGCCATAGAGATGAAAGCAAAAAGTCTTAATAAGTACACGGGGAAAACAGATTCAAACAGTCACCTGCTGTTGGCAGACTGCCATCTGAAATGAATACTATTAGACCATTTGGTCCTGTGTCATTACAATAATGAAAAAGAACACTGTGAGCATATATCCTCCATAGCCCAGAGACGGCTTCCACCCAGATGTGAACTAGGGGCCTTGAACACAGGTCTCTGCCAAGTCTGGATGTCAGTGCATGCTGCTTTCATCATGTCCAACACCGTGAACACACACTGGGCATGTCAGTGTGTTTCAAGTCTAGCCAGTTCTGGTACAACTAATAAAGCCCAATTCATGTCTTTATTTTACTTACGTATTTCCCTCCTTTTCCTTCTCTTTCTAACCGGACAGGGTCTAGGTCTCCTACCTAAGCTGGCCTTGGACTCTCTATATAGTCAAGGATGACTGCTACCCAAGCATGCTAGGATTACAGCTGTGCACTACCATGATCAGTTTTGAGTGCTGGAAATCAAACCCAGGGCTATCAAATGAGCTACAATTAAAAAAAAAAAAAAGTGAGGTGGAGGGATGGTGGCACATGCCTTTAGTCCCAGCACTTGGGAGGCAGAGTCAGGCGGATCTCAGTGAGTTCGAGGCCAACCTGGTCTACAAAGTGTGATCCAAGACAACCAGGAATGTTACACAGAGAAACAGTCTCAAAAAACAAAAAACAAAAACAAAAAACAAAAAAAAGGAGGGGGCGGTCTTGCAATGTACCTAGGCTGGCTTGGAATTCAGTATGTAGACCAGGTTGGCCTTGAACTCATAAGAGAGACACCTGCCTCTGCCTCCCAAGTGCTATAATTAAAGGCATACACCATCATGTCCAGTTTACTTTTTTTTTCCCCTAAAGACACATCCTAGGGGCTAGAGATGGCTCAGCAGTTAAGAGCGTTAGCATCCACATGGTGGCTTGAAACACTCTGTAACTCCAGTTCCAGGGAATCTGATGCCCTCTTCTGACCTTTGCAGGTATTAGGCAGACATACATGTAGGCAAAACACTCATACACATAAAAGCAAAACTTAAAAAAGTATAAGAACACATCTCACTATGTAGTCCGGGCTAGACTCAAAATCACTATGTAGTCCAGGCTGGCCTCCAAACTGCAGCAATCCTCTTGCCTTAGCCTCCCAAGTACTAAGATTACAGGTAGGTACAATCACACTCCACTTATTAAAGCCAAATTTCTGTTTTTGAAATCATAGTAGTTTGTCATTTAGTATTTTCTCAACTGATTATTGAACACATAACCATTATGTAATAGTTGACAGTGCTAAGAATTAGCTTTCCTTACTATTTATGTGTATATTTACTTATTATTGTATGTAAGAGTGAGAATTTGAGCATGCATGCTAAACAACGAGGTCGTCCTTGGAAGTCAATTCTCTCCTTCCACCAAGGGTTACAGAGAGCTAACTCAGGTCATCAGACTTACAAAGAAAACACTTTGACCCAGGATCCAGCCCTAGCTTTTCTTATATTTTTTAATTCACAAAATACAGTATACACTTGTCATATACAGCATGTTTTGGAATATGGATACTTTGTGGAATGCTCCAATCAAGGGAATTAACAAATGCATTGCCCCACGGGGTATCATCTTCTGTGTAGGGAAACACTACAAGATACATTGTTATGACCACAATTACCACGTTACACAAGAGAGATCTTGACCTTAGTCCTTCTAGCTGAAGGAAATTTTACAACCTTTGGTCAATATCCCTCAACCTTCTACACTGGTACCTTAAAATAAATAAACAAAGTAAAATGTTGCCAGCCATAATGTCCCACGCCTTTAATTCCAGCACTCGGGAGACAGAGGCAGGCAGATCTCTGAATTTGAGGCCAGCCTGGTGGAGGTCTACAGAGTGAGTTCCAGGACAGCGAGGGCTATACAGAGAAACTATGTGTAAAAAAAAAAAAATTAAAAATAAGGTCTTGGGGCTGAGATGATTCAGACATTAAAAGCACTGACTGTTCTTCCAGAGGACCCAGGTTCAATTCCCAACACCCACATGGCGGCTCACAGTTGTCTGTAATTCCAGTTCCAGGGGACCCGACACCTTCACCCAGACACACATGAAGGCGAAATACCAATGCACACAAAATATAAATAAATAAAAACATAATAATAAGGTCTTGTGCAGGGGCTAGTAGCTCAAGCTAGTAGGCCACGCCTTGTATCCCAACACTCAGGAAGCAGGGGTGGGCAGATCTCTGTGAGTTCAAGTCCAGCCTGGTTTACACAGAGAGCTCCAGGCCAGCTAGGGCTACATAACTAATAAAAAGAAAAGATCTCAGGAACGGAGACCATAGCACAGTGGAAAAGTTCTTGCCTGGCTAACAAAGGCCTTGGGTGCAATCCTCTGCACTGCATAAAAACAAACAAAACACGATACCAATCAGATCCAAAAACCAATGCATTTTAAAGCGAGTTCACGCCGGGCGGTGGTGGCGCACGCCTTTAATCCCAGCACTCGGGAGGCAGAGCCAGGCGGATCTCTGTGAGTTCGAGGCCAGCCTGGGCTACCAAGTGAGTTCCAGGAAAGGCGCAAAGCTACACAAGAGAAACCCTGTCTCGGGGAAAAAAAAAAAAAAAAAAGTGAGTTCACAATCACAAAGCAATGTGATTTTTGTAATGAGGCTTTTCCCTACCCTAGAAGGCCATTAAAAACAGTATTTTTTTGAAAAAAAGAAAATATATAAGATTACATCCCACTTTGGGGGTGAGCAAGATGTCTCAGCAGACAGGAGCACTGACTGAACAAGCCTGGTGACCTGAATTCCATCCCTGGAACCCTCATAAAAGAAAAAAGGAGAACCAGCCTCACAAAGCTGTCCTCTGGCCTCCATATGCACGCTGTGGCACGCCTAAGCAAACACATG